TATCCTTACTGTCTGCAACACAATTCTTTAAAGGTAGTGTTAGTTCTTGGAATTTTATTGGTTGATCAGATAATATTCTCTAGTTGCCATTTTTTTTTTATTTCCCTAACCTAGCAGCTTGATATTTTACTGTTGTGAGAAATTACTTCTTAGTCACTCCTGGGAGTGAAAGGATTTCAAAGGATGTCTGATTTGATAGTTGTTTGTTCCTGATGGAAGGAAGAATTGTTTGGATAAAACTGTATCAGTGAGTCATGCCTGACTTTGTATCACTTCACTTTCAAGTCACACAGTTCACAGTTCTCTATGTCACACAAATCACCATTCTTTGTGTCACACAATTCTGGTGTCTGTGTAACACAATTACATCAAGTGTTCATGCCTGCACAATTTTTTTTAATCATTTTGAAAAGAGACTGTTCAGTCACAAGAGAAAAGACATTTATTCCATTCTGCAATGAACCATGACCATACTGATAGATTTACTGTCTTGTAAGCTGTAATAATTACCTGCGTGACACAAGAATTAGCTTTCTTGTGCTGATAAATACATGTGTCCTATGATGATATTCAGTGGACAAAGTCCTTCAAAAAGTTTGGAAGCTTTTCTTGAAACAGTGATTAGCAACTCCAACTCCAATTTTTGTTAAGGTTGTGCATTTTTTACTGTCAAGTTAAACCAGAATACTGTAGTTCTAAATTTGATTACAGAAATCTAATGGTTACATCATGAAACATCTTAAGTCTTACTGGTAATTGGTCATTTGGTAATAGATGGATTTAACCTAATAAAGTTCTTGGAAGTCGTAAGGAAACTTATTTGTAAGAAAATTTAAATGATTCATGTCTAATACTTGTACATTTGAAGTTTTTCAAAAACCATTGCTTATTTGTTTGGGTTTGAACAGATGTGTCAACTCGTAGTATATTGTGTATAATAATGGTGATGTAAACCAACATTAAGTGCTAAACAAATTACTCTGAAGTTAAGGATTTACATTCATACGTTCTAGGGTTTTTTAGCTTTTCCAACTGAGTCTACATGTGCTATGTTTAAAATACACCAAAATTAATTCTTTAACAGTTAACACAAGTTCTAGTAATGTTAGTATCTTGAACTTTCAAAGTTCTTCAGCACCCTGTGTAGTAAGTTTAAGAAGGAACTAAGCTTGGATAGAAAGCAGTGTGTGACAGCCTTAATCTGATCTGTTCAGATTTCAGTTGTCATTGCTAATGTTAGGAATTTCTATTGCCATTAAGCTATACTTTTCAACAAATATACATGTTTAGTGACCTACTCTACGTGTACCTGGTTGGATCTCGTGCCATATCTTAAAAAAGAGGAAAATACTATGAGCCATATAAGACTCAAGAGTACATTTTATGTGCTGTGCATGCTATTAGTCCCACACATAGTGTTACACATTTTAATATTTTAAATTTCAACTTTTAAATGTAATTTCCTCACATATCTGAATATAGAAGTCACATACATGTAAAATGAAGACATTTTAACCCTTTCACTGCCAAGAGTGTATTTGTCCTTACAATGTCAATACATCTTCCAACAGAGGGAAGATGGGACATAGGAAAAATTACATATATCATCTTGGGGACTTTGTTTCACTCCCTACTTAATTATTAGACTTATTTAAGTATGAGAGAAAACAAGGCTAACATTCTAGAGAACTGATGCCTAGATCTTGGGGATGAAATAGTTAATGAAGAGCTACCACTCATAAACTTCATGTTTTTTCAGGAAAAAAAAGCACATGGAAGCTATTCCTGGCAATGTAAACATCATCAATCTGCCTCGTTATTACATCTGCAGTTTGAGCAGTTTCAGAAAACTGTTAAGCACAATATTATAAACTTAGAGGTCAATTTTGCACATTGCCTGTATTCAAGAGTAAAAGAAAAACATGAATGATGATAATGTGTTAAGTGACTTTTTTGTTACTCACCATTGTTGTTGATAAATCCAAAAGCCAGGAAGGTTGTATAGGTATGGTTTCCATTTCTAATTGGTGACGTATTTGACGTATTGGCTTTCAAAGATGACTTGTACCAACACTCTGGTGTTTATAAATTCATGAATTGAGAATAATAGCTCAGTAACAAATTTGGTCCTGTCCTCTAATAGTTGAATGTCTGTAGCCCCTGTGATTGCATAACATGAATCGTGCAAAGAATTGTGTCAAGTACTCTGTATGATTGCTAATAATCATAAATTATAATGTACCTTGTTTGCAAGGTAGGTGTGTCAGCCACCTGTAAAATAAAATGCAATTCAGCTTTGAATTAAGAAGACATGTTATCTGCTTCAGCTACAAAGGATTACTTAATCATTATTAAGTAGAGGAAGTTATCTTCTCATAACAAAATTTACAAAGAAATTTGTAGTAGCTGGAGAGGAGAATTAGCAATCAGATCTTGAGAATTAAAGGGGGTTAAAGGTTCATTTAATAAAAGAAAAGGAAAATCAAATCATGAGATAATTTACTTCATTATAGTCAATATACTTCTTAACTTGAACTCTTGTAATATATTATGTAGATATTATCAAAAAGTGTTATCTATACTCACACACAATTTTGTACATTTAGTTTCAATTTTGACAACCCAACTACATTCTTTAAGTATTTTTTTGGTATCTAACTTGCATAGTTTTGTAATTTCTTGTAATGGGGGCCCCACATCATCAGTTATATTATTTTAAGGTGCTTTTCACTTGAAGTGAAGACTAATTTTCTTGTATCCCTTCCCAATTGATGTGAAATATGTATCTTGTTGACAATCTGCATAGTACACATGTATCCTGATGCATGAGGCTGATTGGGGAAAATGTGATTCCTATTTATTTTGAGGGCTTGTACTTGTACAAAAGTTTGGCCAAGGAGGGGAAAGATTCATATTTTAGTCAGAGGTAGACTTAAATTTATAACCTGGCACTTATTAAGGAAGTTTAATTTTTAAAAGACTCTTCATACCTCCAGGTCCAATATCAGAAATTGAGAGCATGTGTCCATCAGATCATCCCTAAAATGAAGTAAGCAGGGCAGAGGTAAGTTCATTCCTCTGTTTGTTTACAGTTAACTGTTTGCACTGAACTTGGTTACAGTAGACTGTCATGTCCTAAATGTGATATTCCATGCATGCATGTATGAAAATAAATCAACATATTTTCATAATATATAGTGTGAGAACAAAGACATGTTCATGTCATGTGTTAGATGTAAGAGATGAATAATTCTTGAAAGCTTGGTAAACATTTCTTATTTGAAGGTCAAACTGGGATGCACTAGCCTGCACATATGTACCTGTCGTTTGCAGCTATAAGTTTTTAAATACATATATAGTGTGTATACAACCATGGCTCTCATGATTATTAATACTAGATCTGGAAACAATTCAAAAGGTACAGTTTAAAATGCAAGTGTAATTGATTTCTTACAAGGAGAACATAAAGGGAATTATAAGTTGATATAGTTTTGCTTCGGAATGTGTAAATTGAATGCAGAGTAGTTCAACTTACCTATTTGTGTTCATAAACCTGTCCTGCTCCTGAAACAAACAGTTGCACTATTCATCAATGCATAGCAACGAGGGGAATAGAAGAGAGAGTTTGCTTAAAATATGTGAGATTCAGGGAAAATTGATTTTACCTTTAACTGCAGCTTATCGCTGTCATTAGCATGGGTATTCTCGATTCACACTGATCGTTACTGCAATTAGTGCCTACAGCTGTATGACATACCCTTCTTTAAATTGCTGATTACCACTTAAGGTTGAAGGAGTTATTCTGCCATATTCTCTTTGAACCTGTATATTATCAATATCCGAATCGCAGAAGGAACTTGTAGTTCTACAGTTAGGTCTTATACTCATTTTTGTCCGATTGAACAGTTTTTCCAAAAAGCCACGTTATCACGATGTGAGAAAAGGTAGAAGCGAGCAAAAGTAATGGGGAATAAAGCGAATGCCTTTTTTTGTGCGTGATTTTAATTTGGTGAAACCGAACTTAAAATATGACTGACAACGGGTGAGGGGATTAGGCATTTTGACATGGCATTTAAAAACAGACAATAAACGGTAGACCATCGACAGCACACGGTATACGACGGGTCGTGGGACAGGACATGATCACGGAATTCAAAATTGTCACGTAATCGCGTGATTGTGAAATGAATCCTTCTTTCATGGGGCGGGGGTGACCGCTTGATACAGGTTTTACGGAGAAGGAAGACTAAATGATTGAAATAAAAGCATCTTCGGCATATTGACCCGCCTGATTTACCAAAACTTGTTTATTACACTTCTTCTTAAATGGACTATAAGGAAGACAAAAAATTGTCAACGATCGCAGGGAAAGTAAAGATATTAAAGGATCCTAGTCAAACAGCCCTCCGTTTTTATTTAAATACGAGGAACTGCGGAGAAGATCGTTCATATTGCACTCAACCCCTGGTGGGAGTCGGGCTGGCCCGTCAACACTTTTTAGTAAGCGTAAATTAAGAAGGGATTCGCTAAAGGAGAAGCCTTACTTGTCCTTAGAACAAATCCGATGCGCTCAACGTTTAATAATAGCGTACAAAGTTTCAGAATACGTAGGAAGAGAGAATATATGATATGCGACAAAGATGAGGAGAAATATGTGTCTGGAGTTGTATGCTCCGGAAGAGAAGGGAACCTTAAAAACGAAGAAAGTAGCGCACAGAAGTAAATATTGCCTTTTGTAACGCAATATCGTCTGGCTTTACCTAACCTCAGGAATATACCGATGGGGAAAGGCATCTTAATCAGTGGGCTTGAGCATCCCTCAGGGTCAACCAAAATGTACGAAAATACATTTGGTGCACATTTGATACATCTCCCCAGCCTGTCAAATTACCAGTGTACGAACATTGTTTACAATTTTGGGTGACCGCTTAATACAGGTTCAAGAAACGTATTGCAACGCCCGTAAAAGAAAGATTTATGCTACATTCACACGATTGCGTGACAATTTTGAATTTCGTGATCATGTCCCGTCACATAATCCATCGTCTACCGTCTGTGCTTTAGTTCATGCCTTTTGACATAGCTCTATGCTTTCTTGATTCAGTTACTTTTACTGTCATGAAACATTTCACAATAGACGTTTTAAATCTAAAGGGACCAATAAAACGGGGTTCATGGAGTATGAGTGACAGACTTGAATCAACTCTATTGTAACAATATATGACTTTCTTTTACAATTGGACTGAAACACATTGTCAAGGCAACGGAAACACAACGCTGGTTTGGTGATGCAACAGTGTATTGGTTCAATTTTAATAACACACGACCATGAACAAGCATTACTTTATTTGAATATTAGAGGGCTGTTAAATATAAAAAAATAATCAGCAGAGATATGCAAATGTTGATATCTTCGGTCAGTTGATCCACATCGTTGTTCTCCTGAAAATATGAAATAAAAACAATTTGATAGGTAGATATATTATTGGTCGGTAAGCGGGCTTTTTAGGTTACATTCGAATTAATTTTTTGTTGAATTATTCACCTGCGCTGCACGGCAATCTTCTTCTTCGTAAAGATCAATCGTACAAGGATCGTCATCTTCAATCCTGAAACGAAAAATTTTTAAAGTGACCTCCAGTTACGTTTCATCGACACGCAGATTAATTTTCACAATTTTCTTTTTTAAGATAAATTTGTTTCTACAGTTCCACTCGTACTCTAATGATTCTTGGAAGCTAGAGAACTGATTTTGCATCAGTATAATTATTTACTGAAATTTGCTTCGCTCTCAAAAAGTGGCTTCCTAGCTCAGTTGGTAGTAACACCCAATTAGTATCTGGAAGGCAGGGGTTCGAATCCTGTCGTAGCTTACGAGGATCATATCTTCTTTATTTATCATCTGCAGGTCAAAGTATTATTTATTATATGTAACTCTAAGGATAATTCCATTTAAGCATGATCAGACTGAGTCACTGAAAACTTTTAAAGAAGTATAAACTGGCTGAGAAGGGGGACAACGGCCGTAATTCGGTTATTTCAAGAGAATGTTATCTTATTTGATGCGTACTATTTTGGAACACATACCCTATAGGAATGTCATCTGTACATTGTTGAATCTTCCTTCCGGATGTAGTCCATCCTGGGGGAGGGTAATTGTCGTCCTAACAAAGAAAAAAACAGTTATGTGCATGTTGGAAATTTTAATCGCTTGTTGCATCCAACAGATTTGAAAAAAATAAAAACCTTTAGCAAAGCATAAACTTCTTTTTCAACTCTTACTTGATTGGAATTTTCCAAGCAACTTGAAGTGTTGTTATTACTGTTTAGCAAGCGCACTCCTTGTTGATCTTCGATGGAATCTGCGTCAGGCTGAGGTATTCTGAGAGGTGTAATACATAAACCTTTTTTTTGATAATGAGATTCCTTTCTATACAGTCGTTTATTACCAGTGGGATAAACCAAAGCAAATAGAAGTTTTATCAGATTCCTCCACAGGAAAGAAGAACCCTCAAAATTGGCCTCGCTCCCATTGTGAGGCTTGGTAGCTCAGTTGGGAGTAGCACAGTGCCCAACTAGTCGACAGTTTAACCGTTTAACTCCCAGAAGTGACTGAAACCTAACTTCTCTTCTTAGTATCCATACATTATCCAGCAATTAAGGAATGAGAATACTCATGGTAGATGATGTTTTCGTGATAAAAACCAAATTCTTGTAACCAATTTATTAGGAAAATTAATGTGTGGCAGCCGAGAAGAGAATTAACAGTCAGTTCTTGGGACTTAAAGGATAAGGAAACGACAACGACGACGACGACGCCGCCGTGGACAACGTCGGTTCATAAAATGAACATATTATGGCTAGAAATTTAGCGATACCTCTAGGATCATTTAGTTTGATTCACACTGTCAAAAATATCTCGAAACTGATTATGGAACTTGGCGTTAAATTAGAAATTGTTATTTCACATTCACGTTCTCCAATTTGTTCATTTCACGTTGTTGTTTTGCAGAGGACGCAAAGAAATTTACAAAAATTCGTTACGCTCGTGTACAGCCATTGTTCTGTTCATTTAACCTTTTGTTCAGTGACGTTCCCGTTTCCGTTGCCGTCGTAGTTTTCTTAAACTCCCTACTATGTGGGCAGGGGTTCGAATCCCTTAGTATATACCTAATATAATAAAATACCTTAGTATTTTAGGCTTTTTTCCTGCAACTGCTAAAATTGCAGCCCGCCTGCGAAGACCATGGCTTTATTTTATTTCAATCCGCACGGCAAATGAAATGTATTTCATTGCAACTTATACCAGACGTTATGATGTTACGTCTGTGGTGCCCAAAAAAGCATATTTAGGGAAAAGAATACGTTTACGTAACTAAACTTCTTAGATATACTCACTCTTTGCCTGCTTCTTCTTCGTCAGAAGAGCTTGTATCTTCACCCTACAAATGTTCAAAAACTGAAACTTATGAAGCGTTCAATTTTTAAATCTCATCAGAATCTTTTAAAAAATGTTTCTCTTCAAGACTAGTTACACCAGCACAATGCTTGCAGATGTTCATTCTTCTTTAAAATTGGTTATCTCTAGCAGCCACACCAACATTTGAGACAAAAATAAATGTATTTACAATAGAACTACGTTCCTTTTTAAGAGGTTTTGTTACGTATTAATCTAAAATGCTTTTTATTATCATTTTTTTTTTGAAAGCGAGGTGATGATGTAAGTGTAACCCCGTAGAATGAGTTGTTTGCTTTGGATGAATAATTTAAATACCACAACATCATGTCAAGGAGAGTTGATAGTTTTACCTTCTCGTGTTTCGCTGCCATCTGAAATAACAAAAAAATATTCTTGTTAGAACAAACAACGGTAGATCCCATTGTGCAATATTATAAGACACGGTTAAACATATCTGTAATCAGTGCAAACAAGACTTTTCAAAGGATTCAGATAGAATAAATGTAGGCAGTAGACATTAGAGAAGTTCAGTGACCTTTACATGCAATAATTGATGACAGCGGTCTTCAGATATTGCAGCAGTTATGCGGTTATGCGGCGCCATTCAAACTGATAAATGTATGCATTTTGCAAACAAGCGTTCTAAAACGTCGTCTAGACATTTGTCCTTTTAGCTAATTGTGCGACCGGAAATGGCAGATGGACTCAAACAACCTTTTATTTTTTCTTGTTTATTGTATCCTCTTTAACCCTTTATAAAGTCTTGTCTTGTTTTGGCTTGCAATATAATCACTGTTAATTAGATGCGATAAGGTATCGATAAGCTATTATTATGACCTTCCTCTCCGGAAATGTGGTCTCCTTATTTTAATGCGTTTTGATACTGCCTTAGTGGTTTATTTGTGGTATTTTGTCACCAGAACGATGATGTTTGGATCGATAATGTTGTCGTTGAATCGATTGCCACGAGTGCGTAATCTTGTTAATTTATTTGGAAGTGTTTGATGTTATTTTGAGGTTATCCGTAACGAACTAGCGCGACACGCATGACGTGTTTGAATCGCGTGAATAAATGTTAGAAAGGTAAGGAGTGGATCAGCCTGCAGTGCAGGCGTCTTATTAGTGCGAGCTAACGTTTCAAGCTCGCCATCGCTTATCCGACCGGCCATATTTGATTTGGAGTTAGAATGGACGGTGGGGGTAGACCTTTCCCACCCTTACCCTCTCCTTATTTTTGACCGACGACCGCCCCCTCGGTACAAATTTCATTTCTCTCCCCAGCCTTCCGCTGCCATTAAAATCAAAGTTGGCGGCCATAATTTTCGTTAAGAAAATACTGAGCACTCGGTCGCTTAAATTACGCCTGTTCTGCAGGCTGGGAGGGAACCTGCTTATCTTTAGCGTTAGCTTAAGCTACGTGCTGTTACAACACGGTCTAGCGGCTAATAGGTTTGGTGACGAAGGGCACATTTCAATCACTGTGTTAACATGTGTACAATGTAAAAGTGTAGGCGAATGAAGTAAACAATGAGAGAATCTTTGAATCATCGAATAACATAAATGTAAGACAATTATAGTGTAAAAAAATACTCGTTAAAAAAGAAAGAACCTCGTCGCACCTGTATTCACAGTAAACGGAGAGGTTAACATAGATTGAAACGGTGCTAAAAAGCTTTCCTCTCCTTACATATTGAAATAATCCATTTTCTGTCTCCCTCTTCAACACAATATAAATAGGATAATCCTGATAATTTGGATGGTTTAGGTTCGCAGAAGAGTTACTGGAGTTGAAAACATAAAATGACATCAGTACCTTGGAGGTAACACGGTAAAACTTTTCTGTGTTCCGTCCTAATCTGGTAAAAGGTTCGTTCGCTTAGGCATCGATGTGTTGGAGATGTAGAATTGCGCGTGGACTTCAGTGCGCATGGTGTTACATATGTACCTGCTAGCGCTCGTAGGGTGGGCTCATGCAGTATGAGTACATTTGACCTATCTGTAGAAATAGGAAGATAAGGAAGCCAAATGCGAAATGGTCTAAAAATGGGGCCCAGGCACTGAAATTACAGCTGTTGAAGGCTACACTCCATTCGAGCAAATTTCTCAGCGTCGGCAGGTTGTTCATGATTTAGAGGTTTTTCGTGATTCTCTTGCTTTAGGCGGTGATGAGAGCTTTTCCCCGAGCTGTGCGGATTTGAGCAGCTTCTCACTACTCAGTAATTTTTGAAGTCGTTCCAGCGGATGGATGTTAGATGTTGTGATTCGGGGCACTGTGCCGTCCCGTTCCTGAGGGGAGGCCTAGATCAAGAGTCCAGAAAGCGGACAGTGTCAGTAATGTTTAGTTAAGAACGTCGTCGTTGTGTCTCTTGTTGACAGTTATATTGATGTCGTGTCGTCATTCATGAACTTACTGCGTTTAGACCTGTTGTCTTCTGTATTGTAAGGCGATTTTTATTGATGGATCATTTGGAGTTGAATACTCTGTTTGAAATCGACACGTTTTAAGAAGTGTCTCTGCTTAATAAGAACAGAACTGGCCTCATTTACTAGTTGGGCCAGTAATCTTAACCCATAGAGAGGATGGCATTGACCTTTTCTTTGATATGTGAAATTGTCGTCGTTCGCCTCTTAAACTTAAAATTTCACGTTAAACTTGATGACCTCTTCGTCTGAGGACGTCCAGTTACCCGGACAGATCCTATTAGCTATAATAAAGAAATGTTGTACCTCTGTTGAAGCTTGTGACGTTTTTCAAGGAAAAGTAAACACATGCTTTGTTCTGAAGAACGGACAACTTAGACAAAGAAGGTAACGAATTGCAAAGAAAGACGAAGAAGTTTTTGTTATGCTGAACAGTAGCAATTTTTGATTAAGCAGAACGGACGTTTTGCCTTTTCGTATAAGCATGGGACACGATGAATGGTGCAATAATCATTTCAAGGTAATCTACGTGAATTATTTCACTAACCTGCGGCTAAAGGAACTTAGCGGTTACTTAGCTGGCGCACAATACCAGTTCACTCTAGACTGTACAGCACCAAGTTGTTTGAAGGGCTTCCTTTTTCCTATATATCCTTCCAGTCTCATGAGGTAAAACCTTCTCGTAAATCTCTCTGTCCGTGTTGTAGCAAGCATCCATAAGGAAAACTTCCCCTCCAGAATTTGTGTAAATGAAACATACACCGTTTACTGTTCTGTTTCGCGGTGATTCGCCAAGATCCGGTTTTCGTAGAAATAATTGCGTGATTACGATTCTAATCTTTTTCCGAGAAATCTTTTGATTTGTGGAACGCTTTTCAGAGAAAACTAAAAATAATGCAATGGATTCTCATTTTTCAGTTTTGTTGCTCGGTGGTCCTAATTTGTCTGTTCATTGAGCAGCTAGAAGGCTGATGTGTTTCTTGATTACACCTAAGTCTAAAACGTGTGGAGATTAATACTAAAGAAGAAAATCCTTAAGAAGAAAATCCTATCCAGAGAAAGACAAGTAAAACTACACTGTTTTAGCACAATCAATTTGACTTCGACAGAGTCGATAAAATCCCAATATTTCCCGGACTGATAATGTGTTACTGTTTTACCAGAAAGCTGTTGGGGAACTATCCTTTTAGCGTGCCCTAAATAAGAAGGCATGATGATGCACAAGTTTGTACACGTATAGCTAAGAAAACTAAGACAGGTTTCAAAAGTGCTCCTGTTCCTTATTTCTTTTACTTTAAATTGTCAGAAACGAAAGCGGAAACTAAGCTTATGAAAATTAACGCGACTTTAATTAACGCAAAGTACGCAATGTCGTGTCAATTTCACATTGCGCAAATTTGGTATAAGTTGCTAGATATATCGTGCAATTAGATGTATTCGGTATTATCCAATTAAATTTGGTGAAGTTATCTTAAATCAGCGAGGTCCTATTTTATGCTCTCAAAGAAACCTCGGTGAAAACATTATCAACCCTGTGGGTGACCTACGTAATGGGTGTGTCGTAGGTTATCGTGTTGGTTACCTCTTAGCCATGCTGAAACTAACAATACGATACCATTTCTCATAGAGCCCTAGAGCCCTAGAGCCCAGCTTGAGGAGAAGCTAGATAAAATGAAATATGTTTAAACTTGGAATACTGACGGTACAAAAAGCGAATTCAAGTGCATTTATTAAAACGATATATCACGAACAACAGATTCATTCAGTTTTTTAAAACAACAACACCTAGTATTCTTTCCAAGACGAGCCATCTGGAGACTGTGAATCTACTGCATCTATCAAATGAGAAGACCAATATTAGCTTTGGAGACAGTCAAAAAAGATTGAGATTGCCTTAAAGAATCCTTAGTTGAATTTGAAGGATGTACTCTTCACATAGACATTGGGTGATTCAAGGCTCTTCTGTAACAGTCATGACATCCATGGCTACTAAAACTTATTAAATTTAGGATGCTTAGTTGCCATAGTGCATCTTTTTTTAAACTTGCATAGGTTGTTGAAATGGAAAATCTTATTTTTGATTTTTCGAAAGTATTTTATGGAAATTAGCTGATACGTCTATTATTAGTCTGGGATAGAGGTTTCACCCTTCTCTACCCACCCACCCACCCACCCACCCCCTCCCCCTTCCCCCACAAATATCTACACACGCACACGCATTCATACAAAGGGTTCTACTGCCAATTTCCTTTGCACTTGCCAGCCAGCTTAAATCTAAGTTGAGTAACTTCTGTAAAAAGCGAAAGAGCTCTCTTTAAAAAGTTGCATAGTTCATGTCAGTATCAATTGTGTGCAGTAATTAATAATCATGCTCGTGGTCG